GGTGGGGTAAGAAAGGAATAATCAAGAGAAGGCAGTAATCTAAAATTGTTCTGTGATTGAAACAGTAAGCCGAGAAAGAATATTCAGCGTACAAGGATTTTGTAGGCACTTCTTGTCTACTGACAGCAGAGTAAAGATGGATGCTGAAGGAACTGGATATGTTTAAGACTATAAAATCTTTAAAATATTTTTAAGACTAGAAAGCAGGAGAAGGAGAGAGGGTGCAATAGATTTATCTTTGAGGTTTTCTACCTATAATTGGTAGCAAAAATAAATTATTGCTCAACACATGGGACTGAAAAATAATACCCAAGAAGTGCACACACAAGGGTGTGGCCTAAAGTGTCTGAGGCAGTAGGTACGTGCTAAAATAGTCCAGGTGCGCGCAAGGCAGTGTTGTCAAAAGCGAAAAGCTCTAAAAATCGTTCTAGGTCAATTGGGCCTTTAAGCGCAAAACGCAATTTAAGTGTGGGCTGTAGTAAAAAAAAAGGCGCAATGAGAGAAAAAAATAAAAATATATATGTAATTCAATAGAAAAATAACAACCTATTCTTGAAATAAACAATTCGCAATCATTCATATTGTTTTCCTTAACAACTAATACACTTATTTGGTGATTATATTTGTAGTCTAGCATTGCTCCATTCAAAATAGAATTCATGGGCAATAAGGGGCACGTCTTGGTGGCTTGCCTACACTGAAGCGCAGCTCAAGGGAGGCGAAGCGCCCTCCCTGAGCTTTTCTGAGCTTCAGGGCTTAAGTGTGCCTTAAATGAGTTTTTGACGACACCGGCGCAAGGAGGCTTGGATACCACTATTATTAAAGAAAAGAATAGCCAAGAAGCAACACGTGTCTCACAAAGAGAAAAAAGCTACATAAATAAGGTCTCAATTTGAGCAGAATAAGCTAGTCCAGAGGTCGAGAATTAGGTTGAAGGTTGTAGTCGAGAGTTTTTCCTAGTCTTACCAGTAGTATAGGTACTATTATTGTATTTTCTTATTCTTAGATCTTTATTTCTACTATCTGTGTCGTTCGCTTCTGTTATCTTATTTCTTTGTTATTATTATTATTGTTTATGTTTATTGTTTCCTTTTCACTATCCCTTGAGCCAAGATTTTCGGAAACAGCCTACCCAAATCCTATTTGTGGGATTACACTGAGTTTTATTATTTTTGTTGAGTAGAATGAACTGAAAGAAGAAGAAACAGTAAGAAAAAAAGCAGTCTTGGAGTCCAAATTTGGGTTTTCTAAGACCGACTGCAAGTTAAAGCTATATAAAGCACCTAAGAAGTTGCAAAAAGTTTCAGAAGAAAATGTTGGAGATCAAAGAAGAAGTCTTCACCTTTTATTAACAGTGGATGCATATGTATAATTTGAAGGGTTGTCTTTTTTGGTTTTGTTTGGTCTTGACTCTTGTGGTTGTGTGAAGGCACGAGAGAAAATATGTTATTGATATTAGATGAACAATACAATACAAGAGGTCCTTATTTATAATTATACTATACAAGGACATACTACACCTCTACCAATGTGGGACAATACTACATTATATACATGCTGTAAACTAACACTCCCCCTCAAGCAGGTGCATACAAATCATATGTACCGAGCTTGTTACATATATAACCAATACGAGGACCAGTGAGAGACTTGGTGAAAATATCTGCAAGTTGATCATTTGACCTCACAAACTTTGTAGCAATCTCTCCTGAAAGTATTTTTTCTCTAACGAAGTGACAATCAATCTCAATATGTTTAGTTCTCTCATGGAACACCGGATTTGATGCAATATGAAGGGCAGCTTGATTATCGCACACAAGTTCCATCCGACTGATTTCACCAAATTTCAACTCCTTGAGCAATTATTTGGTCCAGACTAGCTCACATGTTGCCATAGCCATTGCTCGATATTCTGCTTCTACACTAGACCAAGCAACTACATTCTGTTTCTTGCTCTTCCAGGACACCAAATTTCCTCCTACTAAAATACAATATCCAGACGTAGAACGTCTATTAGAAGTTGATCCTGCCCAATCACCATCTGAGTAACCAATGATTTGCGCATGACCTCGATCCTCAAAGAGTAACCCTTTGTCTGGAGCCGATTTTATATATCGAATAATACGGACAACTGCATCCCAATGACTATCACATGGAGAATTCATAAACTGACTTACAACACTCACAGGATAAGAAATGTCGGATCTAGTCACTGTGAGATAATTTAATTTTCCAACCAGCCGCCTATAGCTTGCGGGATCTCTAAGCGGCTCCCCCTGTCCAGGAATAAGTTTAGAATTCGGATCCATCGGAGTGTCAACGGGTTTGCAACCTATCATCCCCGTCTCCTCAAGAATGTCTAAAGCTTATTTTCTTTGAGAAATAACAATACCCGAGTTAGACTGGGCAACCTCAATACCTAGAAAGTACTTCAATCTGCCTAGATCCTTAGTTTGGAAGTGCTGGAAGAGATGCTGCTTCAGATTGGTAATATCATCCCGATCATTGCCAGTAATAACAATATCATCAACATAGACTACCAGATAAATACAGAGACTTGAAGTAGAGTGACGATAAAATACAGAGTGATCAGCTTCACTACGAGTCATGCCAAACTCCTAAATAACCGTGTTGAACTTACCAAATCAGGCTCGAGGAGAATGTTTTAGACCATAAAGTAACTGACGCAAGCGACATACAAGGCCACGAGACTCCCCCTGAGCAACAAAATTAGGTGGTTGCTCCATATAAACCTCATCCTCAAGATCACCATGAAGAAAGGCATTTTTAATGTCCAGCTGATAGAGGGGCCAATGACGAACCGCAGCCATGGATAGAAAAAGGCGGGTTGAAGCCATTTTAGCCACGGGAGAGAATGTATCACTGTAATCGAGCCCAAATATCTGAGTTTATCCTTTGGCAACAAGGCGGGCCTTAAGTCGATTAATCTGTCCATCGGGACCAACTTTGACTGCATAAGCCCAATGACAACCAACAGTAGATTTACCTGAGGGAAGAGGAACAAGCTCCAAAGTACCACTTGTATGTAAAGCAGATATCTCGTCACTCATAGACTGTCGCCATCCTGGATGAGACAACGCTTCACCTGTAGACTTAGGGATGGAAATCGAGGACAAAGAAGATATAAAAGTATAATGGGGAGATGAGAGACGATGATAGCTCAAACCGACATAATGAGGATTAGGGTTAGATGTGGTCCGTATAGCTTTTCGAAGTGCAATCGTATACTAGGAGCAGGGTCCGCAGCAGGAGCAGGGTCAGGTACAGGACGAGAACCAGTTGGGCCTGATGGAGGATGCAAACGACGATGATAAGTCAAGAGTGGTGTTTCTGTGGCTAGGGAACTAGGGGGAACAATACTAGACTACTCAACGGTTGGTATGGATGAAACCTCTATGGTCGAAGGTGGAGGAGGAGCTATAGTAAACTCCTCAAAGGTCGGTATAGGTAAGACCTCAGATATATCATGGTGGTCAGCAGAAGTAAAGAAAGGTTTAGACTCAAAAAATGTGACGTCAGCTGACATAAGGTACCTACGAAGATCTGAAAAATAACAACGATATCCCTTCTGAACACGAGAATAACCAAGGAAGACACACTTGAAAGCATGAGGAGCTAACTTATCTTTCCTAAGGGCTAAGTTATGAACAAAACACGTGCTCTCAAAAATACGAGGTAGAAGAGAGTATAAGGGTGACTGGGGAAACAATACTGAATGTGGAATCTCATTCTTGATGGGAGATGAAGGCATCTGATTAATTAAATAACAAGTTGTGAGAACTGCATCGCCCCAAAAACGCAACGAAACACGAGATTCAATTAGAAGTGTGCGAGCAGTCTCAATAAAATACCTATTCTTTCTCTCAGCAATCCCATTTTGCTGAGGGCTATAAAGACAAGATGTCTGATGAATAATTCCTTGAGAAGTCATAAACTGCTGAAATTGAGAAGATAAATATTCTAAGTCATTATCACTACGAAAAATGCAAATAGAAATACCAAATTGGTTTTTGATTTCAGCATAGAAACTCTGAAATATAGAAAATAATTTAAAACGATCTTTCATTAAGAAAAGCCAAGTACATCTTTAATAATCATCAATGAAACTAACAAAATAATGAAATCCCAAGGATGAACTGACTCTACTATGACCCCATATATCAGAATGAACTAAGGAGAAGACAGACTCTGCATGACTCTCAACACTACGCGAAAATGAGGCTCGAGTATGTTTTCCAAGTTGACACGACTCACAATCTAATGTAGACAAACTAGATAAACTACTCACCATCTTCTGAAGTTTGGATAAACTCGGATGTCCTAAACGTTTGTGGATTAGATCTGGAGGATCTGCAATTAGACATGTTGTGGAAGGACTAGCATGCTCTCCCTTTAGATTACAATCTTGCTATATTAGCTTGCTGCTGTTATTGTCATAGGTTTTGTGAGTTGCGATTCCATTTTCTTGATATTAACTGGTTGCAATGGCAAAATGCTAGGTACAACTGGGAAGTTGGAAACGCTTCTTCTTGGGGGTCAAATCCGGATTATCAGGTTTTCATCTTTTTCCAGAGTAAATTTTATGGGTGGTCATTCAACTTTGTGTGATCACCTAATTTTTGACTATATTTGAATTTTTATCACCTTCTACCATGTAAATATTTTTAGAAATTTAATATATATTTTTTTAGCTTTGTTACACTTTTTTATAAATAGGGTAAAAATTAAAAATAATTTAAAAGGTCAATTATTACTATTAATATTTTTTTATCTTTATTTTAAAATAAAATAAATTAAAAAAACCTTAAAAAAATTAAATATTTTTTAAATTTCAGATGGGAATAAAAAATAAGAAAAGTAGAAGTATGGAATTAAAAAGTAAAAGTAAAAGTAGGTGGAAATTATTTTTTTTAAAAAGTAAAAGAAAGTGAAAAATTAAAAAAAAAAAAAAGTAAAAGAAAGTGAAAATTAAAAAAAAGAAAAGTAAAATAAGTGGAAATTAAAAAAAAGAAAAGTAAAATAAGTGGAAATTAAAAAAAAGAAAAGTAAAATAAGTGAAAAATAAAAAAATAAAAGTAAAAAAAGTGGAAAATTTAAAAAAATAAAAGTAAAGAAAAGTGAGGAATTGTTTTTTTTTTTTTTAAAAGAAGAAAAATGGGAAGTGGGAATTCTTTTTAATTAAAAAAAATAAAATAATACAAAAACAAATTTAAAAAATTCAGAAATTATTTTTCTATAAATAGAAGAGAAATATGAGGAGAAAAGAGAGGGGAGAAAGGAGAAAAAAAAGAGGAGAGAATCGAGAGGAATTATTTTTCTTCTTCTACGCTAAGAGAATTTCTACTCGTGTCATTCTTTTTTCGTCTTTCTTTCGCAAAATCCAGCAAGTCATCACCCAAAACCCAACAAAAATAATTCATAACATCCCTTTTTACACGCCAAAAAGTGGAGTCAATAGTCGAGGTCGAGGATTCCGCTGGAGCTCCGTTCACTAGGTTTGATGTTATTCGTCGCTTATGCTTGTTCGACGTTCGTCTGAGTTATTGTACCTGTTCTTGGAGACTCATTTAATTAGAAATTTTACATTAAAGGTTTATTCTTCCCTCTTTTCTTTTTATCTTATTTCATGTGATTTTATATATTTGCCTTTAAACTTTATAAATAATAATGTAAGTTAGTCCTTAAATGCTATATGCTTAATCATGTTTTTGAAAATATGTTATACAAACTTGCTTTAAAGTTGGGAAGATTTGGACCCTAATAAGTTTGAGTTTCAATTGTTGGGTTGTAGGGTATTGGTATATATGATGGTTTATTTATTGAAATATCTAAAATCATACACTTCTTCCACAAGTAATTCCATAATTCATATCCTTCACAATAATCTCAAACTTAGGAAAGAAACAAATCATGAATGTGCTAGAATGCTTTAGGCGTACTCTTAATTAATTGAATCATCGTGATTATGTATACATTCGCGTGACATAATTACGATTCCCAAAACTCAAATCAAGGTATGCGTTCGCGCAACTTTGGGCGAAACAATCTTAAATATAATAAAAATGCTATTAATTGCGTGCACGTACACGTGACATGATTTTGGCACAATAAACAAAACGGATTCACACACGTGATTCATTTCAAAGATAATTCCATATTTTAATATAAAAGTGGATAGATAAAACATGAAAACCAATAAATCACAGTTTATCTAAAATTAATTTAAGCCAAGTTGTAGTCAATAAAGCGACCGTTTTAGAACCACGAGACTCGGGGAATGCCTTACACCTTCTCCCCGGTCAACCTAATTCCTTACCCAAACTTTATTTTTGCAGACCAATAATAATAGAGTCAAACCTTCCTTTGATTAGGGATTCAAATAAAAGGTGACTTGGAACACCCAAAAAATCAATTTCAAGTGGCGACTCTGTAAATAAAATAATCTCTATTCGAATTTGTCACTTTAATTGGAAAAACTCTTTAACCCACAACAATCCATAACACATATATCTTTTGGGGCAAAAAGAGGTGTGACACTTTGGATTCATTATTCAAAAGTCATTTTTTTTGTTACGTAAAAGTCATTCAACTTTGTGTTTATTACCCAAAAGTCACTTTTCTTTCATGATTCGGTTTGGATCAGTTTTTCTCTAAAAAAAAACCAAACCAAGTAAGTCGGTTCTTCAAATATTAAAACCAAATCAATTAAGTCCGGTTTTTGTCGGTTTTTTCTTAAATATGAGACATATACTATCAAACACATATTTCGACGACTATATTTTCAACGTAATACTATCAAACCAATTGCTCTTTGAGAAATCTATCATTTACAAGATATATTGATGATAATTGAATCAAATAGTGATGTAAAGTTTATTTACTCAATTAAAAATCGATTATTTTTAACATGAAATAAATTCTTATACTTAGCAAAAGAAAAATATCAATCAAACTAGAATGTAAAAGTAAAAAATAAGATTATNTCGGTTCGATTTTTTCCGGTTATTTTTTTATTAAAACCAAAAGCAAACCAAATTTGGTCAGTTTTTAAAATTCAAAACCAAACCAAACCAAACCTAGAAAGTATTAGTTTTTTTGGTCGGTTTGGTTTGGTTTCGGTTTGGTTCGATTTTTTGGGTTTTTATTAACACCCCTAGCTCTAGTTATGACAATAGTCACTTTGATCAGATTTTACAAGCCTTTCACCTGAAAAGTTTATTATGCCTTTGACTTTATAAATCCTCCCATTTAGATAATACCTTCTATCTTATATGCTACTTTACCCGGGTATTTTACTTATAATTGAAATAACTTAATATTATTTTATAATAAGTAGCATTATTAAATTTGTCAGTAATATTACCATGAACAAATCTCAAGTCCACGTTCTTAACCATGCTTAATGAGATATTTTTAATAAAAAATTATAAACTCAAAGCTCACTGATCATTTGTCAAGCCATACCCATTAATCCAATAAATAAAATACCCACATTTAGCACAATGACATATCATATTAATATTTTTAAATAAATAATATTAACAGATAAATCTTTAAAAAACTTAATAATAAATACAAATATCTTTGAAAGTTTTTTTAAAATTTTTATTGACTATAAAAACTATCATTTGTTAAGCAAATCTGTTTTTATTATTTCAAATAAATATTTTTATATTTAAGATATGTTCATGTTTGAATATGATTAAACAAATTGAGTGCCATGAAAAAATTAAATGTGTGGATATTATAAAAATAAAAAATATAAAGTTATTTTAATTATAAGTAAAATATCTAGTAAAAATATATTATATACTCTCTCCGGTCCACAATAAGTGACAATTTTACCTTTTTATCTTGGTCCAAAATAAGTGTCCATTTACATAATCAAGAAGGAATTAATTTTATTTTTCTAAAATTTGCTCTTATTTATATATTCCAATGTGTCAAGGTAACAATTAATTAAGGTTAATTTATTGAATACATTTTTTTTTTCTCTCGAAGAGTTTGTATTTACTTAATGAGTGTGCCAAAGATAAAATGATCACTTATTGTGAATCAGAGGGAGTAGTATATAATATAAAAGGTATTACATAAATGAGAGAATTTATAATGTCAAGGGCATAATAGATTTTTCAAGTAAAAATATTATAAATTCTTGACATAGATCAGAGTAAAATAATTTTTGTGTAACAAAAGAAAGAAACGTGACTTTTGGGTAATGAGCAGTGTTTTAAAAGGCGTGGGCGTAAGGCGGGGCGTTTTACATATGCCTCAGCGGGCGTAAGCCCTATAGGTATTTAATTTTTAATATTTTATAAAATAATATAATGACAGTTAATATTTATAAACAGGTAAAATTGCATAAAAATTAAAAAAAACTATATATATGTGTGCTCCACCCCCACAAAAAATTAATCAAACAATCTATTATACGTTACTTACAAGCACAAGCAATTTGAATCTAAAAGAATAAAGTTTTCTATATTGAGGAACAAAAAGGATGATTAACCTGCAATTTGAACTTTGGATTTGCTGCTATAAAGAAAAATATAGTTCTCTTTGTATTTGTAAAAAAAATTAAATATTCATTACTTTTGAGAGATACTAGCAGACTAGCGGACAAGATAAAAAATTGAAAAAATCATGAATTAGAGCTTAAATCAATAAAAAAGGTCTTTACTTTTAAATTTAGTACTTTTGAGTTCCTTTTTAAACCTTTTGAGTAATTACCAAACTGACTTTTGAAAATTTGGGTATTACATGAAGGACTAATTCAACAAATTTTGTTTTAATTTGAAAAAGTCTCTAGGGCTTACTCCTTACTAAAAAAACGCGCCCCGCATGCCCGGACATATGCCCTAAATTGCGGGGCGTACGCCTCTTGAGACTTTTGCCCCACACCATCGTCCCGGGGCTCGCCCCAGAAACGCCTTTTAAAACAGAGGTAATGAGAACAAAGTTAAATGATTTTTACATAACAAAAAGAAGAAAAGTAATTTTTGCGTAATGAATACAAAGTTGAATGCCCACCCATGAAATTTACTCTTTTTTCTACTTTGTTTCTGTATAAATGAAGCGTGAAATTTACTCCCTTTTCCCCTTTGTTTCTGTATAAATGAAGCGTTCTCTTCTGATGTGATTATGATGATTCCTTTCATTTTTTAGTTATCTAGTCCTCGTTCAACGGCATATCAGGAGTAGGGAATCCTCGTTCAACGGCGTATCAAGCACCTACTCCTAGTTCTGGTTAGGCCAAAACTCCGAGAGATAATTACAATGATGCTGGGATCCCAAGAGACAAGTTTCCTTTTTCAGGAATCAAAAAGGAGAGTTACGTTGTCATTTTGGATCTTTGTATGGAGAGTATAATTTCATTTTCTTTACTCCATGCTGTAATGCTCCAAGTCCTTACTTGCCATCAATTCCTGGTAGACAACCACCAATGACACCGCGTTCAGCATATATACCTGGTACTCCTGAGAAGTGGTGGTTGTTGAGGTTTTTGTTATTTAAGATGAAATAGTCTTAAAATAAGGGTGAATGAGAAATAGAGAAAAAATGAAATTTTTGAGTAAAATTTTAAGTTTCTCCCTCTTGACAATGAGACATTGTCCCATATTGGAAAAAGAAAAGATTTTTGGTGGGTATATATATAATTGCTCTTCTTGTAGCTCTTAAAGAGTTAAGAAGAAAGTAAGTCTCGCGTCGTCGTCGTCGCTCGCTCGGCTCGGCTTCGGCTTCGGCTTCGGCTTCGGTCAAATGATCGATTGATTGAACTTTGTGTTCGCTGAAACACTGGGGTTTGAATTACCGCTATATCAGTGTGTGATTCATTCTATCTTGGGAGGAAATAATCTATTACCTTGGGTACTAGGAGGGGATTAAATTCCTTAAGGAAACACTGTGAATTCAGTGAGCTCGAATTAATTACTGTTTTATTACCATAACTTATATTTTACAGAATTATTATTTACAAATACAGCAATATTGGCGGGACTAACAGTTGATGTCACCTTTATGAGGTGTGCCCCTATTCCTAAAAATAGCTTGTGTGTCAAAACACTTAATATATGTTGCTGAAAGTTAAAATGAGAAACATTTTACTTTAGTGAGCCAATAAACTTGTGACTGATGCAGAATTTGGATATTTTACCACTAATCTCTTGCATTCTAGCGAAAGAAAACAGTAACATTTCATCACTTTATGTTGTTTTTTTAAAAGATGGAGCAGTAAAAAGATTTAAAATATTGATTGAAATTCATCCAAAAATAAGCAACTTATTCTGCTAAAACTTTTACTGTAGTAACCGAAAGTAACAAAATTTCAACACTTTGCAAAGTGGAAACAAGAATTCATCCGACTTTTGTGACAAAATTAGATGATTTCTTGTTTCCATTTTGCAAAGTGATGAACTAGAGGGCTTGTTCAAGTTCATGCATTCTGATTTATATTTTATGCTTTTCGCGTGTAATTAGTTCTTCCATATTTTTGTTGGTATTTGTAGTGAGTTTCAGTAATAGATCATTGCAGTATTAGATTGGAATTTGAATTGTCTTTTAGCTTTTGCATGCTCTCAGTCGTTTTTGTTGATTATTAATGTCAAAATAACTCCTAATATTAATCAAAACAGTTGTTTCTTTATAGCTTGAAGCTTTAGACAGAGATGAGCCTGAGTGGAATGACTTTTAATACTGTTCATTGCTGCAAATGCATCTCTTATTATTCAAACTTTGAGTATATAGTTTGGTAATGTAATATATCTAGATTCTCTCAGGAAGTTCTATACAAATTTCTACTTTATTAACATGTGTTTTACCTGTCATAGAGTCGGAGGAGAGTTGCATTAACTTGAACAATCTAATAGAAATTTAAAATTGAAATTCATCCTAAAACTAAGTAACTTATTCTGCTAAAAAATTTATTGTAGTAACTGAAAGCAACAAAATTTCAACACTCCTCGTTTACTTCAGTTGCTGCAATTTAAAAAGTTGCTCCTCTTCAATTCTTGCTTATGTTGTTTGTACTTGAGAATTGTTTTGAGCATTATTGAAATTGCACACTTTTGTACTGCATTTCTTTTTCCTCTTTTCTTCTTTCTTTTTCGTCATATGGTTTTGTGCATAAACAATACCCTTAATGACCTTGTCTTATCTGAAATCTTTTTTGAAAGTATTTGATTCTGGACAATGATAAGATTTTTAGAGATTACTCGTAAGGATTGTTCTTCCATTACAACATTCAATAAATCATAGGTTTTAAGATATGATTTTATTTTCACTTAGCAAATTCGATAGTTTTTGCCAGTGAAAATTTGTGGGGCATTCAAAGAGAGACTATTGATTGCCATGTTTGAAAATGGGTTTAAAATTAATATTGGTTAAAAATAATTTGAAAATGGTTCTTTGCAAGAACTCATAGATCCCGTAAGACTAAAGAAGCTCTTGATACCACTGTTGGTTAAAAAATGGGGCAGCAAAAAGATTTAAAGTATTGAGGGGGGAATATAGGAAATATTTATGATACTCTAGTTCTACAGGAAATATTTATGGTACTCTGGTTCTAAGGGCGGAATTTCAATTACAAGTTTGTCATCATCAAACAACCTATCAATTTTTTCCTTTTTGATGATGACAAACTTATAATTAAAATTCTGCCCTGAGAACCAGAGTACCATAAATATTTCCTGTAGAAGCAGAGTATCATAAATATTTCCTATTTTTCCCCTGAACTTGTTCCCCCTCAATTACTTTTTCCGTTTTTGGCATCATAAAAAAATTTGTAACAAGTAATAAGCAAAAAGAAGTCTAGCAAGCGTAACTCATGCCACATGTGTGTACATAAACATGACGAAGAACAGAGCATAAGAGCAAGGCATGCATAGCAAAATGACGGGATATTCATTAATTTGAAAATATGCAGGGAGCAGAATTAGTAGTACCTTTTGTTACATAAGCATCAACAAAATAAAACAGCAGACAAAGTAACAGCCAATAAACGCATCAAAACAAAAAGACCAAAACAGAGGACAGACAACTTGAACTTGACATTCGGAAGGGAACGATTTTAAGGAGCACAGGAAGGGGGAGGCAAAGAGGAAGAGACAAGGGTTCTAAGGAGAATATCCATTCGAGCATATGCTGTCACTTGCTCATTAAGCAACCTCTCCTTCAGGTCCTCGGCCTGTTTCCTGAGTGCAATATTTTTCTTGGTCAGACGGGTAACCTCTGCGCCTTGTGTACTGCTGGAACCAGGTGCCTCCTGGGCCTGACTAAGTTGTCCCTAAAGAATGACATTCCGTGCCTTTAACTTCCTTATCTCTTCATTGGCAATATTCTGAGCTTGAATCAGTTGAGAGATAGTGGAATTGCTGCCAATCCCTCCTTTCTTATCGATGCACTCACACTCTTCTAAGGTGGTCTTGGAGAAAGTATGCTTGCGAGTACCCACTGTAGCCCTTCCCAAAGGAACTTGGAAGAACTCAAATACCTTAGTGAGTAAAAACCCATAGGGCAGCCCATGATTACCATCCTTAAAGTGTGTCACTTTCTTCATGTGCTCAATCATGATGTCCGGCAGATTCATAGTGGAGTAGGCATCCAGTGCTTCCATAAGGAACATGTCTGCTCGTGACGTAATGGAACGCCTTTCTGCACGAGAGAGCAAAACCTTGTTCACCATCTCGAGCAATAATTGGTACACTGGAAGGAGGGCCTTCTTGTGTAGCCGTTCCCCCTGTTGTACTGCATCATCCTTCAAAATGGCGTTTCTAAAGTTTGAAGAGCAAGTCCCCTCAATGGATGATATGCGACCAGTAGGCAATCCCAGAATTATCCCCAGCACAAACTCATCCTTCAATAAATCAACACCATTTACCTTCATACATATGTTGTCATCTTCCACCGTGAACATGTCAGCATAGAAACTACGCACCTCCGTCTCATACACCTTAGGACTCTCATTTGTGAACAAACGTGTCCACCGTTGAAATTCACAGATATCAACCAGTTGGCGCATCCCTGTCATGCCAAGGATATTAGGAGAAAATGTTCTGCCCCACAATACCTTCTGGTTTCTCAGATTTTCTCTTCCTTCATCCTTGGCCACACCCACCTTGGCCTTCTTGGAGGAACCTGGCTTCTCATTGGCACTAACCTTCCGTTTCAGAGATTTTCTCACACTTTTCCCTTTCTCTGCAGATTTCTCAGACACCTTTTCTCCAGACTTTCTAAACACTTTCTCACCAGACTCCTCAGCCACCTTCTAACTAGACGCTTCCACTTTAACATTGCTAACCTCCATCACTTTCATAGATGAATCTTTCCTAAATTTTGGAACTGTAGGTTTTTTAGAGGACTTACGAATTAAGGAACTGGGTTCCTCATCACCTCATCATCATCAACAATAAGTGCTGGAGGCACTACCTATTCATTCACTACCTTTTCACCCTTCATCAACCTCATCTTCTTCTTTTCTTCTTTGTTTTTCTTAAGAAATGATTCAAGAGCTTCCTTCTTTTGCAGCCTAGTAGTAGCTCTTTTAGGAGTGGGTTTTTTGGGAGTTGCCCTACTACTCCTAGCAGAAATAAAACTAGCAACGGAGATATTGTCATAATCTTACTCACTATTCTCATTCTCTTCCTTAGAAAGAGATCTCATCTCAGGAACAACAATGGTTAATGGCTTAACATCGAAATGAGGGGAGGGAGGGGGATCAGTACTGACCTGGGGTTCTTTTGAAGAACATGGGGTTTCATCCCAAGTCAGAGCAGAGGGCTCCTCTTGGGCTAAGGAATCAGGTCCCCCATATGGTTTCCCAGTAGTACTTTCAGGTGCCAGATTTTCAACATGCACCAGTTCTCTACCTTCTTCCTATAGACTATCACCTTCCCCCCTGAGACCCAATGGTTTCAGAAACACCTTCATAATCACCAACTAAACTCCCCTCAGCAGCTATTAATAGTATATTCTCTATATCCTCTTATTCATTCAACCCCAAAGTAGATTCAAAAGGCACATGAAGAGTATTACCTATAGGGTTGGCAACATTCAAGTCAAGATTTGGGGTAATCAGCGCTGATTCTTCACCACTACAAACTGCATTTTGTTTTGCCTCAGAGCTTTCTTCAACTTGCAGACTGAAAACTTCCTGATTTTCTTCTCCCTCTACTGTTTCTCCCTCAACCATTTTTTTCTGCGAAGCAGAGGGAGAGGTCACAACCACAAACCTCTTTGGATTCGAAGTTTTGCGACTCCGATGAAAACCAGAACTTGTTTGGGTTGGAGAAGAAGCAGGGGGGTAGTTGAGAATCTCTTGTGAGGTTTGGATTTGATGAAATGGGAGACTTGGGCTCTGTTGCCTATGCTTCTTGATATAATGACACAGTGGGGACGACATCTGGAAGATTTAAGGCTTCTAGATTCTTAGACATGGTGGGGGGTTTGTAATAAGAAAAAGAGTATTTGGCTTTTGATTTGAACAGTGATGATAGAGATACATTTTGGGTTTATTTAAGGAGGGTGAGGGACCAGTTAGGAATGGGTATTATTATTTTT